GCCAGGAGTGACCAGGAATAACGGTCACAAGCTGGCAGAGGGTAGATTTAGGTTAGACATCAGAAGGCGCTATTTCACGGTCAGGGCGGTTAGGATCTGGAACCAACTTCCAAGAGAGGTGGTGCAGGCTCCTACCCTGGGGGTTTTTAAGAGGAGGTTAGATAAACACCTTGCTGGGGTCGTTTGACCCCAGTACTCTTTCCTGCCATGGCAGGGGTTCGGACTAGATGATCTGCTAAGGTCCCTTCCGACCCTAGAAACTATGAAAATGAAGGGCAGAGACGAGTGGATTTAGTTTGGTCCTGACTAATATTGTGAGGATTAAGACAAAGATGTCAATAGGTCTCAGATAAGTAATGTTTGTCTCCTTATGCTATACCACTTTTTTGACATTTGAAACTTGCAAGACAGCAGGATTGTTTAGTTCCTTGATAAAATTTCTCCTGCACTATATAGAGCATCCTTGTACATGTGGACGGAGCCATACAATTCATCTCATCACCATCATCTTTTTTTTCATATCCCATATATAAAAATGGGGTTACTGATTGTGATATAAATCCAAACTTGCACATAAGAACAGATTTTATGTACGTAAATAAAAAGTAGGCAAAAATAAGATGTTTTCATTATATTAGTTGTTTTAAACCTCTTTCTTTTAAAGTTACTACTATTTTACTGTTTAAAAGCATACATTCAGCTCTATTTGCACAGGAAAGAAAAGTGCATTATTTCCTTTTTTCATACCCCAGTACACTTGTTGCACGAAATGACCGTGATTCACTCTCTATACCAAACCAAGGTGTGGTTCATCTTAGGGGCAGGCAAAATATGGCCCAAAGGCTGGATCTGTCCCGCCAGGCCATTCTACCCAGCCTGCGGGGCCCCTAAAAAATTTAGAAAATTAATATTTATCTGCTCCTGGCTGCCTGTCAAAGATGATACAGGGGCAGTAGGACACAGGGGGAGCCGGCAGCAGGACCCATTAGCACAGCCCTGCCCCATCCCCAGCCATTTGCCTGCTGTCCTGCACGCACAGTGCTCCAGCACCATATGGCTCCTGGCTGCATCGCCAGACCATGGGAGGACGGGGTTGTGCCAGTACTCTGGGGCCAGGACGGGGGGGGAAGAGAGTGTCTGTAGGGTGAGTCCCACACACACACCCTGCCATACACATGCACCCAAAACCCCTCTCACACTGCCATATACACAGATCTCCCACACCCACATCCCCTCACACATCCCAGCCATCCTCCCTACACAAAGTCCATACCCCACATATCTACAGACACACCCACACCCTCTCCCACACTTCTCCTTGTCTTCCAAGTCAGTGAAACAGAATCCTAGTGAGACCCTGTAACTATCATGCTTTAATCAGCCAAAAGGGTCATCAACATGCATAGATCCTGGTTTTCCCTGATCAAAAAAAAAAAAAACAAACAAATTCTCTGATAAACCCCCCAAAATCTGTGATTAAAATGAAAGGCCCCTCACTCTGCGCCCCCTCCCCACAGCCTCCCCAGTCCTGCTGGTGCCCCTTACTCCCCTCCAAAGCCCCCTGGGCCCTGCTAGTGCCTCACTCCCCCCCACTCGTGCCCCTGACTCTGCCCCACAGCCCTGCTAGTGCCCCGTGCTCCCCACCCACAGCTCCCTTCCCTCCACCAGCTCTGCTAGAGGGGAGCCCTGGCAGCTGGGGACGTGGGACCAGGGACCCAGGTCTACAGCCCCCTGCCCATGGCAGGAAGTGGCAGCTGCTGCAGCAGAACAGAGCCTGGCTCCTCCCTGCTGTCTGCCTGCTCTGGGCTTGGGTGGGGGAGAAGCTCCCCACCACTATGTGCACTCCCAGGGGGCAGGGGGACCCGGGCCCCCCAGATCTGTGTGGGAGGGCACAGGTTGCCCACTGCAGGCCCGGGTTTGTACCCTGCTGCCCTCCTCCAGGACCTCTGTAGTCTAGTGAGTGCAACTCGGGGCTTCAGGGCACAGCAGGGATGTGCAGAGATCTCTTTACTGCTGCATGCTTTGTGCTGCCCTAGCAACTGTCCCCTGCCTGTGTGGCGACAGTGGGGCCAGCAGCACGGGGTTGTGCCCTTTACTGTTGCTGCATATGCAGGAGACACATTGGTAAGGTAGTGTGGAGCCTGCAGTGGCCCTGTTCCCTGCAGCATTGGGTCACACCCACCAGGCTTAAGAGGCCCTGAGGGAAGGCAGCAGGGTGGGAGCCTAAGCCCACAGCCTGTGCCTACCTTATGCACAGATCTGGGGGGCATGGGTTCCCCCTGCTCCCTTCTTCCCCCCCACCATGAGAGTGTGTGCAGTGGCAGGGAGCTGGGTGTACCTTCCCTCAATCAGCATGGGGAAAAAACTCATCTCACATTCACGTACAAGGAAGCCTAATTAAATACAATGTCTATCATAAAGCTACTGCCAAAAGCTCTGTTTATGAAAACCATCTATGAAATTGATTAAAATGCAGCCAGTACTGTGCATGACTATAATACACATAGTCCATATTGGGCAAACATATTGATGGGAACATACCACAAGGGTAGGTAAGTGCAACCCACCTGAATAAAATACGTGCTAGTGCCCATTGCGGGCAGTTGCCTCCAACACTGATTCTTTTTCAAGTCATGATGAGCCACTACACTGAATACATTTCAGCTTCCTCTTCACTCCCATGGCTGAGCTGTGTCTTTCTTTCCCATTTGGAATGATGCCTATTTCTTTACCAGACAAATATCAGCAAACAGGACCCCAACCAGTTCATCCAGAATCCTTCTGTCATCCCCCCCACCCTTAGCCTACTGCATATGGATTACTGTGGCCTTGACATCCATGAAGTGGAGCCAGACCAGGATGCCCTGTGCCTCATCTGCATATCAATTTTTGGAGTATCCCAGGACTTGTGACAAGAACAACCAGTTCCGATCATGAGTTGGGGGCTAATTAACACATGGATCCTGTGTGTGTGTGTGTGTGTGTGTGTGTGTGTGTGTGTGAGTGTGTGTGTGTGTGTGTGTGTGTGTGTGTGAGTGTGTGTGTGAGTGTGTGTGTGTGTGCGCGCGTGTGGGGGGGTATTTGGAGTACACACAAACACAGAGAAATGCTGAGCTAATTAGATTCTAATAATTAGATTCAATACTTGGAAAATTAGAATAAATTAATACGTTTTTCATACAGTAAAAGCTCCAGTAACTGGCATCTTACAAGTCGACGTGCTCAATTAACTGGCATGCTGGCTTGTAAGATAAAGTGAAACCGGAAACGCCCACTGTGACACTTCTGGTTTCTCTGAGCCCCCACAGCTGGGGACAAAACAACCTGAGCTGCTGAGCCCCCACGGCCTGAGGGCATAACAGGCTGTGTGGGGCCTGCTTCCCTGACCCATGGGGCCCGCAGGGCCTGCGGGAGGGGCGGCAATGCCGCGGGAGGGTTGGAGGGACACCTCAGATGCAGTGGGGGAAGCGGCGGCCCGGGCCGCTCAATTAGCCGGCATATTTTGTTATCTGGCATCCCCCATTCCCAGGGGATGTCAGATAACAGAGCTTTTACTGTATATAGAGTGTAATTACTGGGTGGTCATCTTATATTTAGGGCCATCTTATATTTGAGTAAATACAGTAAATTTTCAACTCCTGATATCAAAAGTAATGAGTAAAATAAAGACATACCATCTCACTATATACACTGCAAAAGGCTCATTGATACTTTCATCTTTACTATGCTTGTTCAGTAACTACAAATGGAACAAAAAAAATCTAAGTGAGCATGTAACAACCATACAAACAAAACCAGACCACAGCCAACAGCAGGGCTTAAAGGTCACAGTTTGCTCAAATCTGAACTAATTCCTCATGTAAATTATGATGCTATATACTTAACTATTACACGATTATTTGTATATACATGCATGTATTTTAATATGTAAATAGGTAAAAAAAGGATGCTGGCTGTTAGAACACTAAGTTTTAACATCCTTAACCTATAGCATCTGGAATGAGCTTAGGGTCATAAAAGTTTATCTTATACATCTCTGTTTTAGTTAATCTATAAGGTACAAATCTACCCTGCCCTCTGCCATTCATAAGAATTGCCAAGGGAGGCACACATGGGCAAATCTTTACGCAACATCATACTCACATCAGCGTAATGGCCTTTCATATCACAGCGATTACAACGCTTACTCCAATAAGCCCTCTCAAGGCATTCCTTAGAGTAGTGTCCAGGCAAACAGCAATTTAAACAAAACCGTGCTGGGCAGGTGTTTTGTAAGTGACCTCTCTCTGAGCAGAGGCAACAAGGAGGCATTTTCTAAGGAGAAATATGGACAGAAGAATCTTAGGCAAAAATTTTATAATGATTATGACAACTTAAATCATCTTAACAAGTGAAACAAACCAAAAAGTTGGAAGAGGAGGAACTCCACAAATAATAATGCATGTAATGTAATACATGCAATATATACCCCCCCAACTGTAAATTGCCAGTTTAGTACCTTTCATTGAGACATTCTGGTGATATCACAAAAAATGGAGAATAGAAGCTACAGCTACAATTCCAAATACAGCACTTTTCTAAATGAGATTTTGTGCTTTCTGGGCTGGGGACCACATTTTTGTTATATATCAAAAAATACTGTATACACTTATATTGTTCACTGAATAAATCCAAGATTGATCAATAAACATCTTTTTTTTTTTAATCACTTAAACAACGTATGTGCAAATTTTGGATACAACTTGTATGAAAGATGCAATACCAAACTCAAGTTGGATTATATTTCCCTTTTTAAAAAGGGTTTTAAAAATGCAAAAGCTATATGTCAATGACACGCTGTATTATCTGCAACGCAATGAACTGCAATATTTCATCGATATTACGTATGCTGTTGAAGTGGATGTATATATCTTATGATTCACGTATATGATTATACGTACATTTACAAAAATAAATTATCAAAAGTCTACTCTGAGGCTCTGGCTGTGTCCCTTTAAACCAATTTCCCCAATGACTGAATCTGTCGTCATTCCAGGGGCTTAAATGGCAGTTGGGAGGGATGAAGCCACAAACTCAGTCACTGAGAAATTGGCTTCACATAGGCACATCCTTAAGCTTAGAATAGGGAACAGCCTTGGTACGTGTGAGGTCTGTAAAGTGCGTGGAGCTTTTGCAGTCTCTCATGCTGGGAATGGTAAATTCAGGCTCAGCAGACACTACCATAAATTCTGAATATTTACAAAATAGTTAAAAAAAAGTCCTGAAGATGAATGGCTCAGGTAAAAGCTCTCATATTTTTTGGTTTAAATGTGAGCAGGTTTAAGGTGATGTTTAATTTCAAATTTTCTCTGCAAAGGGAGGTAAATAAAGCTACTTTTTCCAGGGCAGTTTGCAAAGTCTCTAGGTATTCTTGTTTCTTTCATTTGCCATGGATTGTTCCTCTTTCCTTTGGTTCTTTTTCTTCAAGACTTCTTACAACATAAAACAATGTTTCGCAGTTAAAACTGTTTTATGACAAGGACACTGTGACCTTGCATTGTGCTTACCTTTATTTTTATCTCTATTCACTGGCAGTTTTTTTTCCTTCATACAAAATTCACAACCCTTAACATCACAAATAAAAGTGTTTATTGTTATAAAAGTAAATTTATCTCTTCTAAAATGCTTAATTACCACATTTCAACCTAGAACTAATTGTAGGCTCTAAAGATAAACCCTTGATATGAGGGGTTTACTAGAAATCCAAGAGTTAATTGGCAATCAAAGAACTAGCAGCTGAGTTTGCCAAGTAATCAAAATGTGCCGTTTACCTTTGGAGTAGGACAGTTTTTGGACAAATGGCCCTGTTTATTGCAATTTCTACAGGTAACATTTTTGTCTGTCGTGTAGTATCTGTTGTTACGCCTCAGAGATGGATAGTTACAGATCTGTGCCTAGGGAAAAAACAAGAAAAAAGGATGTGTTTATTATTTGAGCTTTTGTATGTTAGCCCTTACTGAACTGGAGTTTTGTAAGTGTCAATGCTGGTATGCTCAGTTTGAAATCTAGTACTGTATATCTAGTCATCAACCATTCAGTTTTGAAGTGGATAATTCTATTCTTTTAAAAACTTTGACTTACATGATACTAAATAACTGATTTATAATGAGACATTTTTTGGTTAAATAAAGTCAATCATTGTGAAGGCCTGCCTTCCTTTCAGCATCTCAGTGCAGTTCAATAGGCTTCACCCTTTCAGGATAATTTAGAGTTTTTCCTAAATTGCAAGTTCAGGCAACATTAATTGCAAACACAGGTTACCATACATCAAAGGAAAATACAGCTTGTTAGAAGAAATATAATGCTTTGAGCAGATGAATCAAACCTACATTTTGTAAACATTTTGTAGTGAGCCTGCAAAAGCCCCGTGACCTCATACGAAATCTTCAGAGAAACTCCCCTCTTTAGTACAAGTAAGTATCTGTTTGGTTTTAAAACAAGATTTTGAGCAAACAACTAGGATTGGTGCAGAGGACCAGCTGTTGTCCCACACTAGGCAGAAGGCTGAAGTCATCCAATTATGGAAACATTAGTGAACACTCGCATGAGACAGCAGAAATTGGCCCTTACCCTTCAAGAATCTCTATAACATACTCTTAGCCTCTGGAGCATCTTCTGCAAGTGCTGCAGGTGATTGCCAAATTCTGTTCTGCCTGCGGAAGTGCAAGCAAGCTGAAGACCCACAGTCAGTTTTGTGGAGATGTCTAAGCTGAAAGAGCAGTAGAAAATATCCTAAGAACCTCTCTTTAGCAGTTTGGGGATATGTTTCTGAGATGAGAAACAAAGTTATCACAGGAAGTCTTAGCTGCCAGGAAATATTCATCAGCACTAGAGGCAGCAGGGGAAGAGAGGACCAAGGTTCAGTGCCATGGCAGTCATGAAGAAGTATCTACTTATCTTCATTCTTTTCCAGGACTGCTTCAGGAAGGGTGTCTGCTTTGGCAAATGAACTTCTCCCTCCCTCAGAAGCTTTCAACTGCTGCTGTGGTAGCAAAGATCTCTCAAAGCCTGAATAGAACATGCTAAAAGTCGCACATGAAAAATACAGCTTCAAGAGGCCTAACAGATGTGTTACTTGTGTCACTCTGATTTCACTCGATCTATATTTCTCAGATGAAGCCACAAACTTCACTTTCATGCAGTGGTGATGCATAGGGGGTGCACGGTGGTGCTGCTTAGGCGACAGGCGGTGAGGGACAGGAGGGAGCGCTGGTGCCCCCCCTTTGAGCGCTGGCTGGGGAGTGGGAGTGCTCTGGCTGCTTAATGATCAGCTGCAGGGGGACTCCTCCTCCATTGGTGATTGGTCACCCCCCCCCCCATTAGTGAGCCTGTTTCGGGC